CCTCCAATCAGGTCCCTGCAGGTAATTAGCATCATTATTAAATTACCTTCTTTAAAAGCTAATAATAATAATAAGAGCAGGGTCATTTGGCTGTGATTAGAGCGGGGTCGTTGCCTCCTGCTCCGGTTGCTCCCAGGCTTTGCCTCTCCCAATAGTCAATTTTATTGCAATGGGGATTCATTTCCATGTGGATTCCTTCCTTCCCTGCCAGAAAGGAGGAAAGGGAGGGGAAAACTGTAAAGAGGTGCTCTGCAGATCGATAGTGATGGGATTTGGGTGTCAGGGAGTCTCAAGGGGGTTTTACCTGCAGCACCAAGGGCATCAGATGGTTATTGTGGCCATCAAATAACACCTAATGAGGTCCTGACTGCGGGTGCGTTTTGATGCTCTTCCCATTCTTCCTGCTTTAGAGAGAGAATCTTCCCAGCTGTGTGCTTCCCAGGTTGGGATTTCAACTCGTAGCCAACAAAACGGACTTTAAGGCCCTTTCAACACGTTGCACTGATAAAAACCCACTTCTAGTCTTCAGGTTGCTCACTGTGATTGACTCTGGGGTTTGCGTTGGGGTCTGGCTCTACCAGTGCTGCTTCAAGGGGATCTTCCACTCCTTGGGTGTGTTTTCCTTTGGCAGGGATTTAAAACTCTATCTGTGCTCCTGCCATAAGGGGCACTACCTCCTGAGGCCCTCAAAATAGAAACACATGTTTGGGGAGCAGTCTCTGGCCTACAAATTAGGGGGAAAAGCGATCGATTTTCCATTAAATGTTGAGGGGAAAATGTTGTTTTCAGGCAAAATTTGCCCACGGAAACACCCCCACCCCCCAAGCAGCTGAGCACATGTGTGTGCAATCACATGTGATGGGCACACGCGTGTTGCTGCGCACAGATGTAGGGCATGGAGCTGTGTGGGACAAGGATGCGGCCACGAACACACAGGGACACGCTCACACACGCAAAACACGCCTGGGAGCAGGAGCCACGCATCCATGTGGGATAAGGGACACAGGAGAGGGCCAGGATCCCAGGACAGGGGATCCAGGACTAGGATCATGGATGGGGGCAAGTGGAGGAGCACATGTTCCAAACCACATGCTCCAGATGTGCACGGCCACAGCTGGATGCGGACCAGCAGCACACGCTGCCTCCACAGCACACAAGCACATGCATGCACACACCCACATTCAAACACACGTGTTCGGGGTGCACAAACACACACCCCCTTAAAGCAAGCACTCCCCAAGGGCACCCACACCTTGCACACACATGGGTGCACACCAGTCGTGTCCCCCCCCAAAGAAAAGACCCAAATATCAGCCAGTTCTGTAAAAAAAAAGAAACAACAAAAAAAGGTATTTATTTCTCAGCCTAGATTCCATATTGCACGCAGGAATTAACACTTTCATCGTCATATACTTACAACAACTTCAAATAAATAAAGGTACAGTAAATCTAAGCAGAAATCCCAATCCATGGCTGGAAAAGGCTCTTTTCCTCCCCTGGGTGGTTGTATTGAAACGCATGGTTTAGGACAACGGCAGCATCGGCCGCTGGATGAGCCCAGCCAGGGGAAATACTCCCCCCCCCCAACACACATACAGCACCCCTCAAAAAGGGATGATGCCGGGGGGGCAGAAGCATCCCTGGATCCAAGGGGGGTGGTCCATCAGAGAAGCACCCACAAACTGAAGGACAGTTTTAAACCGAGAAGAGGGGGGGCAATATTGAATCCAGCAAGGCAAAGAGAGAGCAAAGATCCCTGAACCCCCCCATCCCGAAAAGAAACCCTCACAAACCAGGATTACAAAGCACCACAACCGTATCCAAGCTGAGACATTCTCTTTTCCTGAGTCTAAAGCTGCGTTTTTAAAAGCAGCACCCTTTCATAAAAGTTTTATTTTATTTAATGTATATTTTTTTTACAAGATACTTTCGGTTTTCTCCTCCCGACACAAACGTTTTTATGGGGGCAAAAAAACAAAAAAAAAAAAAGGAAAATCAATTAAAATCACAAAAATCGATATTTTTTCCGCTTCTTTTGCACCCGTTTGGAGCTAAAACAACGCAGTAACCTCCTTAGAAAGGTGCCTTTATACCCTTTATGCTGTCCTGGCCGTGCGAGTCGATCTTTTAGCTCAAAACCAGAACTAGTTTGTATCGCCCGAACCTCGAGCTCGCTGTGTCCCGCGGAGGAATTGCTTCTTCCCCCCATCTAGCGCTTGGTTTGTTCAGTTTTGATGTCAAAATGGGCAATTTCTGACAATAATTTGAGGTTTCCTTTCTTTTTCATTTAAATTTGAATTCTATTCACTTTCAATGCAAGGCCACCCCCACCCTCCAGTTTCCTACTAGAGGATCGCTAGGAAGCTGGCTTTTCTGTTTTGAAATCTCTTAATTCCCTTTAAAACAGGTTTAAAAACAACCAGGGGGATTATAATTATGGTTAATATTAATAATTATTACTCTTTGCTGGGAATGGGATGGTTCTGCTGCTTGAGGAGCCATTTAAAGGTGGGGGGGTGGCAAGTTTTGAGGTATTTTATATTGTTATTCACAGCCCTGCTACAGCACCCCCCCCTCCCCGCATTATATACAGATCCCTGCACCTACCCCCAGCTCGGCACATCAATACCAACGGCTTGATCCACGTGTGTCCCCCCCCCCCCCAATATCGTGTATGAATTAATCGCCGTGGTTTCCATACACCCACACGGCCATAGGCAAATATACACTGAGATAAATAGCCAGGGATCCGCACATGCGGAGGGAAACCACCCCCCCCCCCCTTCCATGCGCGCTTCCCGAGGGGTTTATATCCCTTAACAAAAAGAATTCCTGAGTTATTTGGTTGTTGCAGATGGAGCGGCGGAGTCTGGGGGTTGCTGCTTTCATATATATATATACACATATATATACATACGTTTATATGCATGTATATATATATATCAGCATTCATTCCCTGCGCGGATCCCGGGGTTTCCTGCCCGCGGAGCGCGGCCGCCGCTTTGTGCGCTCACGGCTCCCTCCCGCAATTGCGTTTAAATGCTATTTTAGTTCCTTTTCCGTCTTTCTTTTTCCTAGAAAATACATTTTTTAACCCGATCCGGATTTAGGGCAGTCGCGGGCCGGGAGCGAGCGATCGTGATCGGGGGTTAACACGGCAAACGGGAGCGTTACTTACTCCCCCCATCTCCATACCCCCTTCCTAAGTTGGGGGGTGAACCCGAGGTAAGACACCCCCCTCTCCCCGATTTGCCTTATTCATGGGTGAATAACTTCCCAAAATCGGCTTTTCTCCACAGCCCCCCCCGCCCCCCAGGATTGGGGGTTTTGGGGTGATTTTTTTGGTGAGCATCCTCGGCGATAAAACCTGAATATTTGGGGGGAGCCGAACCCCCTTTTCTACATGGGAGAAGGGGGGGGGGTGAGGGTGGCGATAAACCAAAACCCGCAGTTAACCAAAAAAAAAGCCTCTAAAAACCCAAGTCAAACAAACATCGCTTTCAACAATTCCCGTCTCCAAGAAAAACAGCGATTCACAGAGACAAAACACGCTTTGACCTCAAAAATGTCTTTTTCCTCTCACCTATCCCCCCCTTTATTTTTTTACCCATTGATAGAATTAAACCAAAAAACAACCAAATCAAGCCGGGCCAGGCCCGATCGGGATCTTTCCTATTGAATCCTGCCATGATTCTCTTTGGCCTCCTCTTTCCCTTCCAGCAAAAGACGCTGAGAAAAGGGAATTTTATCATTATTATTATTATTATTATTGTGGTTAATTATAGTTTTCGGGGAGCCAAGTTTTGGAGGGAAACAATAGAAATTCCCGAGCGGACGTTAAGAGATTCCCGGCCGTGGGCTGCGAATATTTTCTGTTGCAAAGAACGGAGGGAAAAATAACCCACATCCCCCTCAATAAAATATAAAAGAAGGGAAAAAAGGGAAACCCCCACACACCAGCTTTGATTTCCCAAACCAGAGCGGACTTCAGAGAGCCCGTAGGGCTTTGATGCCAAAGCGGGGTGGAAATCACATCAGGAATAGTCAAAAGGGCCTGTTACAAAGCCACTGGTTCGCAAGGAAAGTTAAACTGGGATATGGTTTCCTCCGCGGAGGAGACGCATTCCCCCCGCATTCCTCCCCGCATTCCGCTCCGGAGCTCGGCCGGGATCAAGTTGTCCATCTGTCCCTTCCTGCCAATGCTCCGGATCCGGTTTCTTGGGGGGGGGGAAGGTTTTCCAAACGCTGCCCTCGGGCTACCGAGGCTGAAACCCTGTAAAACCTCCCTTTTCCTGCTCAGTTTTCACCCTTAATTTTCCTTTCTTTTCTCTAACATAGGCGCAGCAGTTTCAAATCACTTCCTCTCCAAGAATCCTGGTTTAACAAACTGAATTTCCTGCTCTATTCCTTGTTTTTCCCCCCCAACCTTCCCGTCTCTCAAACAGACAGAAATCATCATCGCCCCGTTGTAACGCCGCGATTTGGAATCGCTGCTCCCGATTTCCCTGGACTATCCCAAGCGGACGCCGGTGCCTGTGCTCGGGGCCACCGTTACTGCCCTCAGTTTGTCGTTATTAATAGTTTAATCCAATGCATTTTTCTGCAGGAAAAGGGAGAAATTGGATCTTTTCTCTCCCGGGTTTAACCGGGCGGCCTCTTCCTCCGCTCTCAGCTCCGCGGTTCATCCCAAATCCCTTCGACGGGGATACCCCCCACCCCCGAGAGGATGGAGAAGGGAAGTGCGGGGGGGGGGGGGGGCATCGCCACCCCCGAGGTTTTAGCTTCATCCTTAAAGGAAACCAACACCGGACCCCGGCACTCACACGGCCACAAAAATATCGCATCTCCCATACGACGAGAGCGGGGCCCCCCGAAACGCTCTCGCACCCTGCGGCCCCTTCCCCCGGTTCCTCGGGACCCCCGCTCCCGGGGCTCGGTGGGACGAGGGGCCCGCTCGCAAACACCCCCCGGCCCGGACCCCTTTCCCAGGTACCCCCCCCCACCGCTTTCCTCTCTTGCCCGTTAACCTTTCCTCCGGGCCGGGCGCTGTCCTTAGAGATCCTCCAAGCTACAGCCCCGGAACTTGAGGCTGGGGGGCACGGGAATGGCGTTGCCCCCCAAGTGCCAGCTCCACAGCGGGTGAGTTTTGGAGAGAGCCCAAGAGTTTTTGCCCCCCAGGGAAGAGGCAGGACACAAGTCCCCATCTTCCCCCACGACCAAGGAGGGAATACAAGGGAAGTTGCCCATGAGGCTGAAGGAATTCCGAGGCGGGGCCGGCCCGGCGTTGCCGAGGCGTTTGCAAGGAGCGTTTCCCTTCCTGGAGTTCCTCCGCGGAGCCTTCCGTGCCCCCCCCTTGGCGGAGCCCCGTTGCCTCTCCCCGCCGGTGCCTCGGGCAGGGCGGCTGCGTTTGCCGCTCCCCTCCGCTCCGCTGCCCCTCGCAACCCGGTTCCCCGGGGCGCCGGGGCTCCCGGGCCGTTTGCAGCCGGTGGGGGGGAGCTCTGCAGCTCTGCCGGGCTCCGGCCTCCCGCCCTGCCGCAAACTTTTCCCGTCCAGGTTGAAGCCTTTGGCGTAACACCACAGCTTGGACTGCCGGATCAGCCGGTCGAAGTGCTCCCGACGGGGCTCCCCCCCATCCCCGGGGGGCACCGGGGCGGACCCCCCCGCCAGCTCCGGTACCGAGGCCGGGGCCGGCTCCGGGGCAGGCTCTCTCCCGGGTAAAGCTCCGCTTGGCCGCTCCGCCTGCTCACCGGGGCCTAACGAGGCTCCATTGTTCGAGGCATCTTTGTGCAAATCCTCCCCTTTGGCGCAGGGCTCCGCATCCCCAAAGCCTCCCTCCTTTTGTTGCGGATCCCCCCCAGGGGTGCTGCTCGGGGAGGGAGGGGGGGAGGAGGAGGAGGAGGAGATGGAAGAGAAGGAGGAGGAGGAAGGGGAGGCCTCCTGCTTTGCGTACAGCTCCGGCTGGGCCCCCGAGCCCAGGGCTGCAGCCGGGCTTAAACTTTCCAAAGTTGATGCTCGCAAAGTCCTGGCCCAGAGCTGCTGCGAGAGGAAGAGGAGGCCGGGGTCAGGCCGCAGCGCTTTGCCCGCTCCGGGGAGAGGGGGCTCCACGGGGCGCTCCTCGCCCAAGGGCTCCCGGGGGGGCTGCGTTGGGAAGCGCGGCAGAGCCGCCTGCCTGTACCGGGTGCTCTGCACCGAGTCCCCGCTGCACAGCGAGCTGCTCTCCGACTCCGAGGAGCTGCCTTCCTCGCTGCTGCACGAGCTGTCCCCTTCCTCCTCCTCCTCCTCTTCTTCCTCCTCCTCCTCCTCCTCTTCCGACGAGTCGCTGGAGGTGGCGGGGCTGGACCCGCCGAAGTCCAGGCTGGAATCTGAGTCGCTGGAGTAACCGGCGGAGGTTCCCTGCCGCTTGGAACCGGGGAAAGCGGCGGAACGGCCTTTCCCGGGGGCTGCGGGACCCCCACCAGCCGGGAAGAGCCGCTCTGCGCAGCAGGGTCCCCGCTTGCGCTGGGCGGGGGGCGCAGGGGGGGGCGCAGAGGTGGGGGGAAGCCGCGCCAGGGCTCGGGGGCAGCTGGGCAGGACCCCGGCAAAGAGCCCCCCGGCCCGGCCCGCCAGCCCGCAGCTCCGGCGGCCCCGGGGGGGCTCCTCGCCGGCGGGGAGGGTCCGGTGGAAGGGCTGCGGCAGCAGCGGGGCTGGGGCCGAAAGGGCGCAGCAGCCCCCGGCTCTGCAGGGCGGCAGCAGCGGGGGCCGGGGGCAGGGGAAGAGCCCCCCCGGGGCCGGCAGCAGCAGCTGCTCCCTCCTCTTGCTCTTCCTTTTCCTCTTCCTCCTCCGCGGGCCGAGGCTCTTGCAGGAGGTGCAGAGAGCCTCCAGGTCCGCCTTGGAGATGAGCGAGCATTTCACGGCGCGGGTGGGCACGGAGTTGATGGCTTTGAGGGTCCGGAGCTCCTTGAGATCGCAGCGTCGGCTCTTGATCTTTAAGGTTTCCATCTTCTTGCTGATGGTGGTCCTGGGGATATCCTTAAACAGGTCGCTGAGGACCTGGGCCAAAGCAAACATCTGGGTGCCATTGATCTGTAAGTATCCCAAGTTTATCCCTTCGATTTCTTGATAGCCGGCATGAAAATCCCCCGGCCTGGCTTCCCCATTGTAATCCATGGTGGCTGGAACAATTCCGAAGGTCCCTTCGCAGGTCAGGAACATTTTGCAAGGAGCATTTACTTTGTCTCTTTCAAAGGGGGCATTGAAAATAAGGACATATTTGTTTCCACTCCCTGATCACACACATCCCTACCCCTCGCCAGAGGTAGGGGGGGCGAGGGGGGTGGTGGAAATAAAAGCCGAAGCAGTCGATCTCCCTTTCAAACGCTCCAGTCAATGGGTTGCAACATCTTCCGAACACCCAGTTCCTCCGCCTGCACCGGGGCTCGACTCCTCGTCTTCCCCCTCCCCAGCCAAAAACAGAAAGGAAGAAAAAGAAAGAAGTCAAACATTTTGTATGTGTCCTGTGTGTCCCCCGCTTCCCGGCCGGCTCCCACCCGCGGCCGCGCACCCCACCTTCCCCTGCAGAAATAATTGGGGAAGGGGGGGAAAGAATCAACAAGCGCAGCCCCCCCTGCGCTGTGCAACCCCCCTGAGGTGCTTAAGCAAACAAAGCTCCCGCTGGGGGGGGGGGATATCGAAGCGGGGGGGACCCCCGGGGCTCTGCGCGGTTCCCACCTTCCCCGCGCTCCGCACTCGCGGCCCCGCCGCCGGTACCGTATATTCTAAGGGAACACCCCGCCGGGCCGGCCCCGCCACCCGCCACCCGATTGGGCGTTCCGGGCCCGTGATGTCATAAACCCCAACATTTCACACGCACACCCCCCCCCCCCCAACGCGCAAAACCTGCGCAAACCCCGCGCAGCCCCGCTCCCGGCCGTGCCCGCCGATCCCGACCCCGCGCACACAATGGAAGACGCCTCCTTGGCTTCTTCCCCCCCCCCCCCCCTTTTAAAATATATATATATTAAAATTTACTCTTTCGGCTGTATTTCGAGGTGACGGCTGCGCGGGTGCCTCCGCTTTGTTTCCGCGGTTTTGCTGGGGTTTTTTTTATTTCCACGTAGGGTTTTACGAGCCGTTGCTGCGCCTTCCCAAATCTGCCCCGATTCCTCTGGGATGGGTGTGTGTACGTATAGATTTAATAAAGCGTAAAAGATCCGGCTCTAAGCGAGTTGTTCACAACGATTGACTCCGCAACAATTCATCCTTCAACCTTCAATGCTTATTAATTGCCCATTGCTGTATTTATTAGCTGGCATGAGCGGGGTATCCACAATAACATCGGTAGCATGTGCGAATAAAAGCAACGCGAAGATATTTACGTTCCTTTTTACTCACACACGTTCTTTATTCACTCCGTATCTTTTTTCTTCCAAACTATTTCCTTAAAAAGAAAAACAATTAAAAAAAAGAAAATTAAGGAAAATTATTATTATTAATAACAATAAAAATCCTTTTGCATGGATTTGCGCTGCTTAACTTTATTTCAAACTTTAAGCCCCAAGATTTCGATTCCTTCGGTGGTTGCTGCCTCGCTCCCGCCCTCCCAAACCAGCCGCTGTTTTCCCAAAAGCAGAGCTGCGGATTTCCTTCTCCAAAGTGGGGGGGGGAAAGGGGGAAAAAGCCACCCCCCCCCTCCCCTTTCCCCTCCTTTCGCCCTCACCCGGCCCGGAGCTCCATTGTCCCGGCCCCTCGATTGCTTTCTAAACCTGGAGCTCCTTGAGCGCAGGGAGCGGAGCGGTGGAGGCCGGGCCGAGGGGTTTCAGTCGCTGCTCAGGGGGCTAATTTTGGGGAAACAGTTACCTCGGAAACCTTTCGGGGGGGAGGGAAGGGAAGGGGAAGCTCCTCCGTGCACGCTGCGCCCTTCCTCGCAAAGCCTCCTCTGCCTCCCCTGTTGAGAAGTCGCTTCCAGCCCTTCTCCTCCTTCTCTTCCTTGCGGTTCGGATGGCAAAAATCGGGGTAATTTGATAATAATAATTTGTTAAACTCGAGGTACAAATCAACCGCAAACGATCCCGATTTAGAAACAATCCCGGAGGAGGAGGAGGAGGAGGAGGAGGAAGCGCATTCCTGAGTATGCCTGTAAAAAAAAAATTCAAACTCGCTCCACCATCGCCTTTAATTCAGAGCCGAGATCACCTGATTTGCTTTTACCTTGGATGGGAGGAGAACCCCCGACGCCAACATGGGTGCTGCTTGGGGCGGGGGGGGGGGTGGAAATCACTGCCAGGGCTCCCTCCTCCCCAACACCCATGGGTGCACCTCGCCTCCAATGCGTGGCCTTGCTGCTGAAAGAGAATCCCCCTTTTTATTTCCCTGCGTTAAAACCCACCACATTTCACCCCCGTTTTCCATAAGCGAGAGTTTCCTGTGAGTAAAGGTCTCCCGGCCAACACAAACACCAAATTCCTCTTTGTTTGGGCAGAGGGGAGGGGGAAAAACTTCGCTCTGGACGGAAAGTGGCCGGTTAGGGGATACTGCAGCTCCTGCGAGGGACCACAGAAAGTCCTGCTTGCAGCCAGCCTGGAGCTTCCCTTCGCAAATATAGGGAAGATCCTGGGTATTTTTCTTTCCACATAAAGCCAGAGCCATTTTACCTATAGGCTGAGCTTTGCTCCGTGCCAGACTGGAGGAGGGGAGCGAGGGGCCGGACCTGGCCTGGAATATCCCCAGCCGATGGGGCTGATGCAGTTCAAGGATTGGGAAAGGGGGAGCTGGTGGAGAAAATGCAAACCCCAGCAGCACAAGAAGCAATTCTGATCACTTGTAGGGCTTTTGGGGGGTGGGGGGGGCTGGAGCCCCCCAAGTGCAGCTGGGAAGCAGGGCTTGGAGGCCACATGCAGGCGAGTGTATGGAGACGTCATTTCCCAGGAAAGGGCCAGCTATAGGAGCATAAATCGGCAATATTTTGGCTATGGGTGAAGTTCAGCGGAGGGGGTGTGTGCCTTGATGTCTCTATATGGCCCCAGACAGCCTGACATGGGCCTAGAGATACTTTACAAACCTGTGTACATATATAAATACCCATAAACATATATATATATGCACCCATATGTTATATATATGCACCCATATATATAAATGGGGAGGGTACTCTCAGCCAGGGTGGTGGTTCAGGAGCAAATGTATGTTGGACACATCATCAGCCCCCTGTTTCTGCTGTCCTTGCTATGTCCCCTGTTGCCCACACCTTTCCATGGGGCTGGGGACAATGTCCCTTCTCCAGCCACTCCACGTGTGTATGGATAAATGAGCTGCTCCATCTGCAGTGCACAGGGGCTTTTACACCTCTCCTATCTGTCATTAGGGTGGCTGCAGGCCTGGTGTGGTAATGGCCATGGAACAGGCTGCTCCATGGGTCCCACATGTGGGCTGGGGGCTGTGTTGGGGGAGAATGGGGCTGCTCTGGGCCTCGGTGGGGCTGCTCTGGGAAATGGGCACAGCCAGGAGAGCTGGCAGCATCCGAATCGGTGCATCTGTTCGTCATCTGTGCATCTATACATCTATGTATCTGTGTATCTATATCTGTAGAGCTATACATCTGTGTACCTGTACATCTGTAAACCTGTGTATCTGTGATTTGAGTATCTGTACACTTGTATATCCATGTATCTGTTATTCTATTGGTGTATCTGCATATCTATATATATGTATCTATGTATATCTGTAGGTTTGTGTATTTTTATAACTGTATATCTGTGTATTTTAATATTTATATATCTATATATATGGGTATTTCTCTATTTGTGTATTTTTAGATCTGTGAATCTCTCTATGTATCTGCATATCTGTACATTTGTATAACTGAGTATCTGTGTATTTGTATATCTATGTGTCTGTGTATATGTATATCTGTGTATTTGTATAGCTGTGGATCTATCTATCTATCTATCATCTATCATCTATTATCTATCTATGTATCTGTGTATCTATCTATTTGCCCCTCAGCCCAGCTACTCCTCCCAAGGGCACAGAGGGGGTTCCAACCCCCCCAGGTGAGAGGACAAGAACCATGGGGGGAATCCCCATGGGAATCTTCACCCACGAGGCACCCCCAGGAGATTCCTCCCTCATACCTGTCCGGGCTGGTTGTTTCTGCAGGAAGCATAGAAGTCAGCAGGGTGGAGCTTCCCATGGGATTTCCACGTTGGTTTCTGGGTGCCTTGTTCTGTGTGATGTGGTGCAAGGACCTCAGTGCTTGGGGAGGGAAAAACCATCCCCAGAACCCCCCATAGGTTTGGGCTGAGCTATTTGGAGGTAGCTTTTGGGGGTAGGGTTCCCTGTGTGGGCTGTGCTGGGTGTACATGGAGGGGGGTTGCTCTGACAGGCCAAATCCCAGGGGCATCTCTGCAGGTCCAACATCACTGGCAGGGAGCAAGTGAGGGGGATCCTGTTGGAAAAGCAGGTTCCAGCAGGAAAAGATGGGAGATGCTGCTGGTGGGAGCTGGGGTGAGGACAGAGAGTGGGCAGGGAATGGGCAGGCAGGGATTTGCAGCAGCACTTTGGGAGGATACGTCAGATTTCCCATGGAATAAAAGTGATCAGAAATGAGTATTACCCAAAATCCCCCCAAATGAGGTGGCCAAAATGATGCCGAGACCCTTCCATGCACAGATCCCTAAAGCAAGGAGCAGAGTAGACCCCATTCAGGAAATGCTCCCACACAGCACTTCCCACCTAGAAACCTTCATGGAGAGGCTGCAATTTCCCACTTCCCTCCTGTTACAGAGCCAGGATGGGTCCAGTGCTCCCACTGGGATGGAAAAACCAGAGTTGAGAGGTGTTTTCAAGGGAAAATACAGAAATCCTGATTTTTTTCCCCTTTAGTTTCAAGCACTTGATAACAGACCTGCAGGCAGCCCAGCACCAGGCACCACTTACAACCCCGAATATTTGGCTCTGAGGCCATTCCTCCTGACAGGCACTTAAACTGTCCAGCATGAAAATATTCCTACAAATCACTCGGTGCACTGGATTTTTACACATCCCAGGGACATTTTCCAGGCTGCTGGAAGGAGCTGGAGAAGAAGATCCAAGCCCCATCACCCCAGCCTGCAGGATGGATAGGTTAGGGGGGGGAATAACCCCTCCTTCATCTTGGGCTGGTGGGTGCCTTTGTGATGCTCGCCCTGCTTTGGAACCAACCTTCCTGTTGCCAGCAGCCCAGGACTGCTAAAATGCTCTCAGAGGCACTGAAAGGCAGAGAAAGTACCTTTCATTCACACAGGATGGGTTATATTCAGGTTTTCTCCCTTGTTTTTCAAGGTATCTTTCTTATTTGTCAAGATTTTGCTCTTATTCAATATTCCTCTCTTATTTTTCCATATTTCCCTCTAATTCATTGAGAAGTCTCCCTGATTTTTCAAGATTTCTCTCATTTTCCAGGATTTCTTCCTTATTTTTCAAGATTTTTGTCATTTCCTAAGATTTCCTTCTAATTTTCATGATTTCTCTCTTATCTTCTAGTATTCATCTAATTTTCAAAGATTCCTTCCTTATTTCTTGCTATTTCTCTCTCATTTTCCAAGCTCTCTCTCATTTTTCAGGTTTTATTTCTTATTCTTCAAGTTTTCGCTCTTATTTTTCAATATTTCTTTTTTATTTTTCACAATGTCTCTTACATTTTTCAGGGTTTCTTATTTTAAAAGATTTATTTCTTATTTGCCAGCATTTCTCTCTTATATTTCAAGATTTCTTCTTTTCCAGAGTTTCATATTCTTCAACATTTCTCTCTTATTTTTCCAAGTTCCTCTCTTATTTTCCCAATACTTCTTATTTTCCAATATTTCTTATTTCCCAATATTTCTTTCTTATTTTCCCAGATTTATCTCTTATTTCTCAACATGCCACTTTTATTTTCCATGCTTTCCTCCTCTCTTCTCCATCCCCACTTTGTGCGTTAGCACTCAATGCAACCCCCGAAAAACCCCCTCTCTGCTCTCAACCTAAACTCCAAGCACATTGATTCACCAATAAACAGGATTTTAATAAATCCCACTGCTCCTAAATGAATATTTGGATCTATGGACTCAATTCTCCTATTGAGAGGAGGAAAACCAGGGGCTGAGGACACAGCAGCGAGCGGAGCTGTGCAGGGCCGGGTTGGCATCGTTTGCAGTGGGATGCACTGATATTAGTAGATATTTGATTCTTTTCAGATTCCTTTTTCTTTAGGTGCTCCCCCCACCCCGTGCAAACAAAAGCTGCATTTAGTGACAATTTATAAAGAGGCAAATCCCCCTCCTCTCCCTTTTGTTTCAAAATACAAAGACAGAAAAGTGGGGTTAGTTTGAAAATAGGCTCAGGCAGGGGCCAGCCCTG